GCACTGTCGACAAACGGGTCTGTTTTCATACATAAGGCGAACCGGATTATAAGGCGCATTAAGCGAAACAAAACAGACAGATAAATTAAAATTTGCTCAACTCATTCTTCTTGTTTCCTCCACTTCTGTAACATTAATTCATTAATTTTGAATTCTCTCTATTCCCATGTTGTTGCAGCATATTAATGACTAACCTCATATTGTGGATGGATTATCTCAGTTGTTCTCCTGACTGAAGTTTGGTCCGTTTACAGCATCCTGCCATGCGAACCCTCACGTTAACTTTTATCAGTGGAAAAAAGTTAGAGTTCATCCTCCAGCTTCACTGTGTTTATGTTATGCTAACATAGAGGTGTTGCTAGCAATCACATAGTACATCATTATATACCAGCTAGTCCAATTTCAGTAACCCTATAAAAGTCACTGGTGTTTAGTTTTCTGTCTTCATTTACGTTGGAAGTGATAGCAGAGCTGTACGTTTTAATTTTTTCAGAAATCTCTCAGTCAGAACATGCTATATCATGTTTTAGGTGGAAACTAGCGAGCTAACTTCCTGCTAACGGCTAACTCCGTTAAATTTAATAAATTCTGTTTTCGTGGATGCCTGGATGTTAAACTTAATTGTTGCACCTGGTAAAGCAGCAATGCTGATCATTTTATCAAAGTTGAAAGAATTTTGACAGTTTTTAACTTTCGGTGATGCTGCAGTGTAAGTTTGAGTTTGGGACCTAAAGAGGATGGAGTTTTGGGCCCAGATTACTCAGCGAGGCCCCTGACTACAGTAGCCATAATGCTCCAAAAATCCATCAAGCGGTGCGGCTTCGTAGCTTACGAAGTCGTACTAAAACATTTTTTGACAGATGTTTGAGCGCCATGTAGCACATAAAATTAGCTCGAGGTCAGTAAGCACAACCAGAATTCATACATAAGGGGCACCAGATTATAAGGGGAACTGACAATTTTTGAGAAAATTAAAGGATTTTAAGTGCGGAAATATGGTAATTTCAGTATCAGATGTGCAATCGATGCCTCAAGGTACATATTGGACTCTGATTGGTCTCTGTAGTTCTGACATCACAAATGTTTGTTCTGTTTTTCATACCTGATAAAAAAAATATTAATTAAATGTGTGTGCAGAATACTTACCAAATTCAATTCAGTTAAATTAAAAATTTTTTATACAGTTCAAAATCACAACAACAGTCGCCTCAAAGCGCTTTATATTGTAAGGTAGATGCTACAATAATGCATACAGAGAAAAACTAAGTAATCATAAGACCCCCTTATGAGCAAGCACTTTGGCGACAGTGGGAAGGAAAAACTCCCTTTTAACAGGAAGAAACCTCCAGCAGAACCAGGCTCAGGGAGGGGCCTGGCCATCTGCTGCGACTGGTTGGGGTGAGAGAAGGAAGACTGGATAAAGACATGCTGTGGAAGAGAGACAGAGATTAATACCAGATATGATTCAATGCAGAGAGGTCTATTAACACATAGTGAGTGAACACTGTCTCTGTTTCAGCTCAGCCGTTCAGTATGATTTGATCAGTCTCTCATGTCATTATGGAGAATTTTGGCCAACTCTTCTTTACAACATTGCTTCAGTTGATTGAGGTTTGCAGATATCTGTCATGCACAGCTCTCCTGAGGTTCTGTCACATTGTTTCAGTCAGGTTGAGCTCTGGACTTTGTCTGGGTCACTGCAGCACCTTTTCTTTGTCAGCCCTTCTGTTGTAGACTTGCTGCTGTTCTTGGGATCATTGTCCTGCTGCATGACCCAGTTTGACCCAAATGTGAGGGCTGCCTCACATTTGACCCTACAATACTTCTCTATACAGAGGAGTTAAAGGCTGAATCAGTGAGTGCAAGCTGTCTATGTTCTGTGGCTGCAAAAAAAGTGCACATTTATCCAATCATTAAGTATTAAGTATTTCAAAATGTTTTCTTATGATTGTAAGGACAGATGTTTCACATATGTCACACTACCTGCATTCCCTTTAGATTTAGGCTTCTTAGTGTGTCCTAATAGATTTTAACATTTTTATATTTTAATGTTATATTAATGTTATTACAAGTTATTTTCATGTTTTGGCTGCTATAACACAATAATTCCAATCTTTTGGGATAAATAAAGTATTTGTTATCTATTATGTTTGTTCACAGAGAAACATTCCTTCTTTAGCCAATTAACTCTACTCATCAGTCTACATAGTTATAATCAAAACATCCAACAATAACCCAAATTATTATTTTTTTTTTAGGGGGAGGGGGGATTTCCAGAACTATTATCCAAATTGGTGAGGAATGTAGGCAAGGAATGTAGACAGAAAAATATTTTTTTGATATCGCATGATGATTTTTGCGGAGCTTTTCCTTTATTAGATTAGATATTGGTAGCGCTAGAAGCAAAGCAAAGGAGGTGGTATAAACAGAAAGGCATGAAGTGACTGGAGCAGTAAATGCTGCAGTTAAAGTGAAAGTCCCCCCGCACTCCACCCCTGAAAAATATTTAATTGTCATTCAAGTCCTGTACAACTTTTTCAATAATCCAACTCAGGCAGCAAAGAGACCACCAACATGTCATTTAATTGAGAACGATCATGTATTTTAATTAGCCTAACCATAACTCAGTAGCATAGCAGTGGTGTACGTTTTTTGTCCATCCATCAGTTTTATGCTGCTTATCCAAGGCCCAGTTGCCAGGATTAAAGTCTAACTAGAGAAGCCTAGCCTTCCTTCTCCCTAGCCACCTCCTCCAACTCATCCAGGGGACACCAAGGGGTTCCCTCAGTGTAATTTCGCCAGTTTTTCCTGGGTCTTTCCCAGAACATTCACCTCAACTGGTGAACCAATCCAATCCTCATCCTAGCTTTAAAGCTGACCCCGGCCACCCTTCAAAGGAAGCTGCATTTCCACCACTTCTATCTGTAATCTTCTTTTTTCCATTACTACCCAGAACTTGTGGCCAAAGGTGAGGGTATAAATGTAGATCGATCGGTAGAGTGACATCTTTTCTTCTACGCTTCACTCTCTCTCAAACGCAATTCGTTGGTGCAGTGTCCTTCGGACGCCACACCAAACCATTGTCAGTCTTCACTCTCCCCTCAGCCGTAAACAAGGCCTCAAGATAGTTCAACTCCCTCATTTGGGGCAGCCCCTGCTCCCTGACCAAAAGTGGGAACGCCACAAACTACCTGACCAACTCCTCTTAGCCTTGTAGATCCTGTTTCCCATGGATGCATGGACAGAGAACTTTTAATAATATGTTTGAGAACGGCTACACTGATCATGTTATTGGATTTTTAAAGAACTTTGACCTTATTTTATTTGTTAATGGTCCCTCTCTGTTTCATTTTGGCAACTGAAGGAGCATTGGGACCTCTTAGTTGGATTCATTTGGGATGTAAGCATTGACGGTGGACTTTAAAGGACACGCCCATGTCACAGCAGTCATATTTGAGGAATTGTTATCCGCTCTGTGAGATTGCGAAGGCACGTTCTCCTTGTTTTGTGCTTCTGCAAGTATGCAGAGCCACGTTTCCTCAGACAGGAAGCTCACTGCCCACTTCCTCCTGTTTAATTCCCACTTGTGGGTCCATAAAACTGCTCCTGGGTCAGAAGAAGGGAGGTATGCAAGGAATGTCGCTGTCTGTCTAATGAGCAAGATAATTTACTTTTGAGTCTGGACGTGATGAACCGGCTGGGTTTTGAGAGAGTAAAAGGAGTTTATGAGTCACATAGGAGTCTTTGATCCATTGAACTGTGCAAAACATGCCCTTCTCCCCCCCGACTATGTAACAGAGACCCAGACCTAACTAAATAACTTTTAATTAGTTGCTTAGATAGCTTGATGTCATCATCTTGTGAACCATGATAATGTCAAATTTCTTTTGGCAGCATTTCCAGCCTCTTATGTTTCTTTTCTTCTTCGAGAGTCAGTCTCAATGTACTTCCACGTGATGCTCTGTAACTGACACAAGCTTTCTCGTTGCACTGTAGACATGATCAGGATTAACAGGACGGTTCCTCTGTTGACTCATTGTCATTCAGAAACTTAAACACGAAGTCTTTCTGGCAGATGTGATGGATCAAAACCTTTTAATGTAAAATAATTACAAGGCCCTCTAAACATTTTTCCGTTTATGTTTTTCTATTTTTAAAACTCTAAAATATATCTCAGTTGAGCTTCTTAATGCCCAAATCAAAACTGTGATTCTCTCTGACTTCACATAGCGCTTATTAACTGTCTCGTACCTGCAGGACCTCTTTTCGTTTATATTTTGACAACAGTAAAAACAAAGCTGCCATTTTCTGCGGGCGTATTCATCACCGCTAACCTTGAGTTAAATTAAGTCTAGATTACAGTTATCGAGCTTGTGTGGAATGACCCTATTCTGTCTAATTTACACAAGTTGTGATGCTAAATGTTGGCAGATGGTGTTTTGGTGTAGAGCAGCTGTGTTGTGGTGACGGCCTTAATGTGAGGTCATTATATAGATTGTAATTTTACCTTCTTATCTGATTTTCGTGGCCACTGACAGTTTCATGAGAAGATCTGTACCAGCTGCGTGTGCTTCCTCGGATATGTCCACTCATTAAAAGCTTTCTTGAAATTCGACTAGATTAGGATAATAGTAGACAACAGACATATTCTTTTTTTTCTTTCCAAATTCTATTGTTTGTTGATGAGTTTAATGTCATCTGAGCACCTTTTTGATTTCTAGCAAACGTGGATTGTCACATAAAAAGGATTTTAAGTACATCCATTAATTCAGTAGCTTATAAATCCACCTCTAGCATTTGATTAGCAGTGTTATTATTCTCTTAATTCTGTGGTCTGATATTTCCATATATGCATTTTTTTTGGTGACTTCTCATCAAACTCTTTGTTTGATACATGATTACAGTAAATGATTGACATAATTAAAATTAAATAGATCAAAATTAGATTTATAATAGTTCAAATATGGGTTAAAGTTCTTCTCTGATGTGTTTTCCCTCAGATGAGCACAATGCCTGGCCTGCCCACACGACCCTGTTTCTACGACATTGACCTTGACCCGGTCACGGAGGAGATCACTGGGCTCTTCTGAGCATGCTCCCCAACGTTATTCTCGTGGGTATCATCTCATCTGTATCATATAAATGCTTCTGAAGAAGCTGCCATTGTTTCACTTTACATATTTCACAAGCAGCTATTGACAGTACAGTTCGTTACATCGACTGGCTGCTGGGACTTTGCTGCGTCTCCAGGCTCAGAGGCCCTGCAAACATCTTTGTTTTTGTTTTTTTGTTCCCAGGCTCCCTGCTCTGTTTTCAGGAGCATGGGCTCCATGCATTCACCATAAGGCTCATCTAACCCTGAGCCACTGGCAGGAAACAATTTCTTTCTCTTCCCAGCTGATCTGCATCAAAGCAACATGGAAGAAGAGGGAGGATTAGTGGACCATTAGACTAGCATTATGCTGCATTTGCACGTGTGTCATATGCCAAAGACCATGCCCTACAACCATATATATGTATATCATACAAATATATTTGGTTTTTTCTGGGTATAGAAGAGTCCATTTTCTTGGATTTTATTTTGTTGTTTCCTTGGATGTCTAACTTCTGTTTGTTTTTCTGGAAAGAAAATCAAATGTCTTAATACAGTGTTGTTGTTTTGTACCTAAATGCAGTGAGTGGGCAAACTTGTCAATTAAGATGCTGGTGTACGCACAAAACGCCCTCATGTGACTTTGAGTTTCCTAATCTGTTAAGTGGTGCTGAATGTTAAAGGTGCTTTACATACACTGAGAAACACTACAAATGTCAATTATGTTCATAATTTCTAAGCAGTTTTTTCTTTAAGTATTAGTAAATTATTTTGTTTTGTGGTTTGACAAGAATATCTGTGCTTCTGTCATGTTATATACTGTATGTTGTTTGGAGGTATTTCAGACAATACCGACCAACCAGATTCTGGAGCTTCTTTAAGTGTTACCTTCAGAAAAGATAAAGTCAGCTCATTTTCACTTTTTTTCCATAGAGTGTAAAACAAACAGAGGTAGTACTCTCTGAAAACATTTGGTACAATCCTGAAAGCTGCTGTATGTCAAACATTTCATTTGTCAAAGATCAAAAGTGCCTTATAGCAGTAATAATAAACCTTTTCTTCACTCCAAAACTGTGTATTTCTGTTTTTACGTCAAGCATCAGACATGAGCTCTTTTCTTGCTGTTGTCTCGCGATTCTTTTTGAGATGCCGCGATACAATCGTGCCTCCTTTCACAGATGAAACCTTTAAGATTTTCTGTGCTTTTTTTCATTTCTTCGCATGCGTTTTGGAACGGTGTCTGAAAACAGATGATCCCCCTCACCCCCCAGCAGCACCCCAGGGTGCAACATCTGTCATTATGAGGTGTTTGGGTTTTCAGCATGAAGCCAAGTGTGCATGTGTGCACATGTGTCATAGCTGGCATTCCACACTTTCAAAGTCTCCGTGTTATTCTGCGTGTTCACCCGGCAGTATCTGGCACTGGGAATCTTATACAATAGCTCCCCAACAGCAGATTTAGTGTGTGTGTGTGTGTGTGTGTGTGTGTGAGAGAGAGAGAGAGACAGAGACTGAACCCTCTTGTTTTGATCTGATGACAGATTTAAAGATGTGTTGATAAGTTGTACACTTTGGCATTGCACTGTAATGCGCTGACAGATCCCTGTTTTGTTCGGTTAGAGTTGTTTACATTGAGTTTTTGACTCCATCTGAGAAATTGTTTAGGCTCTCATCTTTTAGCACTTCTGGACAGATTTAATAGATTTTCCAATTTCAGTACCAAGGACAGTGTCCTGTTGAATGTTTCATGTGAGAGGAATTCCAAGAGTTTCTGGAAAATTGGTCCAAATAGTTGAAGCTGAATGATCCTGGTCCCCAAACATCCAATTCACTCTCAGTTGTTTCAGTACTTTTATACTAAAAAAGTGCTACATTAACTGGGTCCTCCATTGAAAGTTATCCAATTAGTTTCGATTCTAGCTGCTCCGCAGTCCTGGGTCTATATGCTATCGTATTCTAGAGCCATCCGGTCTGCAGAAAACTATAAAGTGGCAAGTATCTGCTTTGTGCCTTTAACGTACCCTTACGTTACTGTTTCATAGAGCTCCGAGCATGACATATCTAGTAATGCTTTCAGTGTAATGAGAACATGCTTCCTTTTTCCTCTTTCATGTGACACCAGCATTACATTACTGCTCATTTATTGTGTGGACATACCCTCTGTCTTGCTTTAGAATCACCAGTTAACCTAACTCTAATTACACACTGCAAACCAGCCAGATTGTGGATTTGAACCCAGTCCCTTCTTGCTGTGAGGCAACAGCACTAGCCATCACACCACCAGGCTTAACGAAAGCTATGATTACAAGGCTTGATGCAGAATTTTCTGTACGTTTTTGTCCTTGACAGGTTAAACCACAATAAATAGCGATACCATACACGTGGTGTGTGTGTAGCTGTCTGCCTCTTAAAACTCCAGCGATTTTCCTGCAATTTGACATCTAATGTGATCTTGTGAATTTTGCGAGTCCAGGTAACTAACCACTCTTTACTAGATTGTATCATGTCATCTCAACAAGAACAAATTAAGTTGCTGAATTTCGTGCAGATGCTACATGATTTAATTACTTTCACCATAGAAACATGAAATTATTTAGTTCAAATTACAAGTTTGAATCTTGTACATGTATCAGCCACACAAATTCATTTTTTTGAGTGCATGATTGTTTCTGATCATCGTAACCAGTTTCCGATTAATCTTCCCAAAGTCCCGACCTAAACCCTACTGCAAACTTGTTGGCTATGATTTCCTGGCGTGGTCCCTGCTTTTAAGTAATCAAATCAATGAACTCTACCAATTATGCCAGGAAGAGTGGGCAAATATCCAAGCAGAATTATGCCAGGAGCTTGATGATGGCTACCAAAACTGGACTGATCGAGGTGCACCTTACTAAGGGACATTAAACATCACTTTGGCTGCATCAGAACAATGATGTTACCATTGTTTATTAGATTCAGACATTTTGCCTTATCTTCTAGACATACTTACATTTAAATCAAATCTTTCTGGAAGTCTCAAATAAATCCTAGTCAAAGCCAGGTTACAAAGCCAAAAGGGTTTTAAAAATTCAAAGATGGAAGTCTCCATGACACAAAGCTATTTTTACTGGAGAAAAAATGAAAGATTTATAAAGCAGCGTGAGTGGTCATAAAGATCAGTGTATGTTGCTTTAAATGAGTCCCCCTGATATTACCAGTAAGTAGCAGATGATCTCCAGTCCCTATCAGTTCATGTTGCTGTTATTGTTTCATAGTTGTATAATGTGTCCTGTGTGTTTTACTGTTTGACTGGTTATATCCTATTATCTCTGAGTGTTTCTCTGTGTAAAGTCTTAATTTGTGTTGTTGCACTACATGCTTGGGTTTGTGTTTTGGTTTAGCTGTCGGGACCCTAAGTTTAGGCGTGTGTGAACTTGGCTTTAAATGCTTGGACTGTAATTTGTGTGTTCAAAAATTCCAAACAAAATGACACATTGGCTCAACCTACAATTACAATTACCTACAAACCAGTTCTGTAAACCAGAGCAACTGTACACACACTTCATCAGAACAATGAATCACAGCAAAATGTAAACAAGATTAAAAATTAGGATCTAAAGAGATGTCAGACAGAGAGATTACGTCATGGAGCGAATTCAGCTGGAATAACAGAGAAACTGTTTGTTGTGTTGCAAGTGTTATGAAGGTTGTGTTAGTGTTTTTACACGAAGCACAAGAAAGATTGTTCTCTCTGCAACACAAAATGAGTCTTCGTCCTGTTAAAAGGGAGTTTTTCCTTCCCACTGTTGCCAAAGCACTTCCTCATGGGGAGGGGGATTAAAATGCATGATCCAAGATAAGGTGGATGTCAAAGTAAAGCCAGGAGAACCTTTTTAAACAGGAGGAGAAGTCTTACCCTACCCCTGTCATCCTTTTCTCTAACTTTGTCTCCAAACTGATCAACCTGAGCTGTCTCTCTCATGGACTTGTGATTCTGTCCATCCATGTCTAACTACTATTTTGCTGCCGTCACTCTGACACAAATCACCCTGCCACTCATCGTCACTTGTTTGTGGGTTCTTCTGCATTCAGTTTAGCATTAAATATCTGAAAAGCATACTCTGTTTGGGTTAAGATCAAGTGACTGACGTGGCCATTTCTCATTTCTTTGTGAGAAAGTCTCAGGTTGCTTTTGCAGTGAGCTTTGAGTCATTATCCATTTGGACTGTAAAATGCTGTATGACTAATTTTGTAGCATTTGTCTGAATCTGAGCAGAGAGTGTAACTCTGTACACTTCACAGTTCATCCTGCTATTTCTGTCATCAAAAAAACACTAGTGAGCCAGATCTATCTATCTATCTTATCTATCTTATCTATCTTATCTATCTTATCTATCTTATCTATCTTATCTATCTTATCTATCTATCTATCTATCTGGCAAAGTCAAATCGTGTTCTAGAGTGTAACCAGTGGTTTGCACCTCTTAACCACCTTTTGTTATCTTCTTTTCTCATGTTAGATATTCCAGTGAAAAGATACTAAATGCAAGTTCAAAATTCTGAATGAACCGCATCTTTGATTAAATTTGTCATGACAACAAGGGAAGAGGTCTTAGCTGCACCTCTGAAAATCGGGCTCTATGCATAAAAATGTCTTTAATTCCTAAAAAAAATGAATGCATTTTTGTTGTTAAACCACTTGAATTATAAGTCTGCACTTATGATGTTTGCCACTTCTGCTCAAACTTGACGGATTTCTGCCCTCGTGTCATTGCTGTGTTTTTAAAATTGCTCAAATTTAATTTACAGGAACAGAACAAAACTAACGGATTAATGCGGCGTGTGAATAAAAGGCCCTTTATCCTTTTAATTACTTGCCCTCCTCTTCCCTCGTTTGTTTATCCTCCATCAGCACTGGCTCTGCTCCTGCAAGGCGTGCCGCTGCACACCGGAGCCCCCCATGTGATACTGACGGGAGATGCAGAAGGTGGGGGCGTCCTGAAAGAGTTTGCCAGTCCCGACGCTTCATCACTCCAGATCCAGGCCACTCCGGGGCGGAGCTGCATCGTACATCGGACGCTTTGGATATTTGCTCCCTAAACACAGTAGTTCTGCTCTGGCTGCGTTTATTGCGGAGGCTTTTTTTAGACCGTAAGTAGCCAAAGACGAAAAGAGTTGGCCATGGGAGCACAGAACTCAGCGCAGCAGGACGGGAAGAGCCAGGAGGATGCCTCAGCCTCAGCTTCAGCCTCCGCCGGGGATCTCAGCGCAGAAGTGAAGGCGCACCAGGAGGGAGACAGCGTCCTGGACAGCAAGGTACAGCCGACACTTGCGCCTTTTTAGCTCTGTCACAGTATACAAGACCCCCCCACCCCTAGCCCTGCACGGTGAGCAGAGACAGACCCGGTTGCGGGGGGCTGTATCTGCGTCTGCTTCCAGCTGTAAAAGCTGTCGTTTTGTGCATTTATTGTGAGTTTACCTACATGTTTGCAAACATACCTGTCGCCCCCCATCCCGCCTCCCCAGCCTCAAATCAT